TCTCCAGCTTATTGTAAGGAACTACTACTCTGCTTCTCAACCTGTTCTGGTTAAATTTTTAAGGAATTGTAAGCAGTCAAGCTATTTCTAAAAATGTTCCAAGGATATCATTTATTTATTGTAGATGTCATGTCTTATCAATGTACATTTTGGCCAAAACTGTGTAATCTATGCCTACAAAGTGTGGCTCTCTAATCCCCGCCTCCCACCTCTCCCCGCCCCGTTCCCCTCCCCCAGCCTACTCTGCTAGTGACGAGGCCACTTATACATTTATGTTTCTGCTTCAGACTTTGAAATAACAGATGTAGATATTTTAACTGATGCAGTAAAAGCTCATATTTACAGATGCTGAGATTACAGATTTGTTCCTTGCAATCTCTGACCCACCCAGGGACCTTGTGTCACAGGTTGTGAAAGGCTTCTATAAACAGCAGTCCTTGTGCTCCTAGCTCTGGATCCTGACAATGGGATAGAGAGGAGCAAAGGCCATGGGATAGTCACCTGCAATGGCCCACAGAGGAGGGACAGTAGAGGGAAAAACCTGTTCCATCCTGATCCATCCCCATTCAAAAAAAAAAAAGCATCACCAGAGAGTGTGCCTTTGCACAGCACCACTAAGTCACTGCTCTCTTTAAATAAAGGCATATAGGCCACAATACATTGTTTAATTCTTTGCCACTTTTCCTGATTTAACATCCAATTCCCTGCTCCTGTAACAATAGTTATCTTAAAACACAGTAACACACTTCTGGCCTTTCTCTCTTCAATCTTCCACACCACTCCACATACTTTTCGAGTTCTCCCATCTAGAAAATGGCAAGAATTTACTAAGTCTTTGCGGGACCTCAAACTCATTACATTTGTGGGGCTTATCAGTCTCAGAGCTCAACTCTTTCTGTCTTCAGCATGTCAAACATTGTACTCTTGTTAGCTGGGAGAATGGCCTGAAGAGCTGGCCCAAGGTGATCCTGAGACAGTCTCTTCCATTCACCACTGCCATTTAAAATTATGCCTTGCTTAAGGCTCTCTAGCATTCAGAATCCTGTCTTCAGATGCTGCTATAATATGGTATACTTGTGCAGTGTTTAAACATATTTAACAAGGGTTATACTTTAAAATGAATTATTGTAAATTATATAATCTGTACTTACCATTTAACTCTTTCTCATAAAAAGATGTTCTTCAATGAATAATAATTAGCTTATGCACTTATTATAGCATGCTCTGTCATAGAAGCTCAAAGCTCTGTACAAAAGCAAGTAGGCATTATTCTGATTTTACAGATGGATAAATTGAGACATATAGAAAAGGTCTCTTATGCCCAGTCGTCTGCACTAACCACTAACTTGCAATTGCCCTTGTCCCCAAGCCCCTGGCTAACTAAGAAAATGATACATTTTGAAAGTAGTAAAAATAGTTGCACTTATTTGTAACTCCATAATGGCACAATTTTTTCAGGTTCTCATTGTTATTTCATATCTACAAAGAACTATTTGTATTTACAGCTTCCCTTCGTGGCCCAAAGTCTAATAATGCCAATTCTTGTTGGGATTTACTATTTAATCTTTTCTTTGTGCTGAGCTAACTCAGAATATTTGATGTATCTGCACACAGTCTTGCACTATTGAGTAACTTTTCTGCTATTTTTGTTTCATTTCATGCTAGGCTGTCAAGGGAATCTTTGATGAAAAGAAGAGTATAGGGATTTATTTATTGTGGTATTTGCTGGTCTTTTATAGGGTCTGTTTATCAAGAAAAATGCTACTTTTGCAGAATGTCCTCCCTTCCTATGTCTCATTTATACTATTTTGATAATACAGAAGAAATGGCAATCCCTATATTTGGAGTTCTGTCAGTTTTCATGTAATGTAAATTTTCAGGGAGAAATAATTGAACAGTAAAAATTTGATGAAAACTAAAATTCAGCAATGAAAATTTCAACCCAAAACCAATATTTTTACAACAAATTTAAGAATACTCAATTAAATTGGATGTATGGAAATGAAAATATAAGATGGCCAATTTAGAGCATTATTTTAAGCTTTTCACTGTGATCTAGCACATACAAAATGATAAGCAGTTATTCTAAATTAAATTGCCATCCTACATTTGTTTGTTGTTATGATCTAATATTTAGGGATTCATGTTTTCTGCAGTTTATGACTACAAAGCTTTTTTTAGCCCATATTGGTTGTGATGACAACATTGAAAACAAGAATGGAGTATAATCTGATGCCTGTTTGCATATGTATATAGGCATTTAGTAGTTCTTAGATAATATCTGCATGATGTATTCTACTTGTGTCACGTTTTAGGATTTTAAAGTGAACAGGAAGATCATTGTTGCACCCGCTGTGGTGTGTTGCCCCAAATTCTGTGCAAAGTGAGCCAAGTGAGGTATCTAATGAAAGCTTATGCCCTGCTGATTCTATGTACGCTATTCATATACTTGTAGGATTTTTATATGTAAGGTTATGAATATGGGCTCTAAACGTGAATTTTAAATGTTCTCTGTCTGAGGGTATGTCTACACTGCATCCCTAGTTCGAACTAGGGATGCAAATGGAGACAATCGAAGTAGTTAATGAAGCGGGGATTTAAATATCCCGCGCTCCATTAACATGATCTCGCCGGCGCGCTAGTTCGAATCACAGCTGATTCAAACCAGGAAGTGCGCGCCAGGATGCGTTAGTTCGGACTAAAGCCCTTAGTCCGAATTAATGTTACTCCTCATTTTTTGAGGACATTTACAAAAATGTCATCTAGCACTGTAACAATTTCAAAGATTAAATAAGGCATTATCAGTTCAAATATCTACAGACATGTTATAAATGAAAATGTGGAGACATTAAATGAATTTATTATTAAAATAAATAGGGCTGAGCTACTGTATCGACTATAATATTATTCATGAGTAGACGTGCATATTGTGATCATCTTAATATCTGGGTCCTTCTTTCTACCATCTCTTTTCTCATCCTTCGGCCTTCATTAGTTTTTAGTTTGTTTGGTTTTTAATTTTTAGGTCCTCACTTTCTTTTATTGTATCCTATCAAGCAAAGCTGGTTGCCTTCAGATTGCAGTATGCTTTGCTCCAAAACCAAACTAAACCTATCAGAGGAGCCCTGCTGGCCTAAAGGGTGATATGGGAATAGAAATAAGATAATAGACTCAAAACTATTCCCACTGAACTCAGTAGCTAAATTCCCATTGAGTTCAGTGGGAGCAGAACATAGCCTGAGGTAGGGTAATGATTCAAAAGGATTTGGTGGTTTGGTATTTTAAAGTGTTTAGAAAACATCTTTTCTGCCCCATTCTCTTTTCATTTGTGGTGTTCTTTGTTTTAAAAGGGGTGGATTTCTTTGTTTCTCTTTTTCATAGATGTAGTGATGTTTTTCTGCTTTATGTGAAGGAAATAAGAAGCTAAAAAAGTGTCATTTTGTTGGTAAGAACCTTAAAGTCCTGAGAACAGGAGCAGAGAGAGATTATAGAAGCAAATCAGCACAAAGAGTAGTGCAGTGTGGTTACTGAGAAATAACCACAGAGGGATTATGCAAATCCTTGCACAATTAACATGAAGGGGTATCGCCCTGTATTGGTTCTCATATTACTGTTATTGAGAAATAGCCTGAATGAGACAAAACAACCTCTTTGAGGCAATTAGAGCACAGAGAATTGTACAAAAAGGGGAAACGATCACTGTACAGTTGTTTCAATAACTAAACAGTTTCTTGCACTCTGATTTGCTTAGATTATTGCATCTATTGCTTATGGTTATGATCTATTTCCTTATTTAAAAAAGATGCTGCTTAATCACAATAACTTCTTCTAGTTACTGGAGCATTAGATATGTTTAATGTGTTAAAACACCTGAAATACTGTGTACATCTTTGTGTTGGCTGTAGCCATTATATCATTAATATGCTAGGCACTTTACAGGCAAATAGCAAAGGCAACAGGCCCTGACAGAGAGCTGACAAGCCATGTGTCAGATAGGACAAAATGGATGAAAAAGGCAGCCTTTCATTCATCACATGACTCTACTATACTCTGCCCTGTGATGCCACAGGCTTCTTGCCTGTAGCCTGCCAGTGATTACAGTTTCAATCACCAGCAGTCTGGTTCTCTCTCAAGCTGGCGTGCACTTTCTCCCATGACGTTCTCATACATAAAAAACTTTCCCACTCAGTTAAATCATTCTTACATTTTTGAAGGTATAGAAATGACTTAAAATTCCATTGTTTTCAGAATTAGTGGTATATTCTGCAGTCACAAAAGAGTAGTAGTTATTCCTGCCCTAAGAATAAAATGATGCTCTATCACTAAATTTTGGGTTACACTTTATTGCTACTACAAATCATGGATATAAGGACTTGTATATGAGTGCCCACTAATATGGCATTACACAAAAGCTGAAATTGCATATTAACTGTATAAGATTTGGGATAGAAATTTGTCTTTGAATTGATTGTGTATAGCAATTTAATTTATTCTTAAAATGAACAAATGTGATTTTGTTATTATGTAATGTCTGTGGAAAACCCTATAAAATTGCCTCATCACTACTGAACAAGGATTCAGCCACAGACCTTCCGTTGACTTGATGGGGAGGTATGTGACTAAATACCCCAGGTAGCTCTGTGAAAATAAAGGTGTTAGTTAATTAATTTAGCATTGCATTGCTCAGCTTGTTTAGTGTTTGTTTTTAGACTCCTATTATTATAAAACAAAGCACCAAAGGAGATTACAGTGATTACTCAGTGTCTCCAATTACTATCACTTTACTGCTGCCTAATAACTGCAATTTGTATTACTTTTTGTGACCATATTTTATAACATGATTATTAAAAATTGAGATTTTTTCGTACTTGAAATGGCAGAGATAGAAAGATTACAGGCACAAACAATAGTTAATGAAGAAATTACTGTATATCAACATGATAACATGATTTAATATTGTATGTACTCATGCTTATCCATATTTTTTTCTCTCCTTATAGTCCTTCCACTACGCCTCTCTGAGGGTAAAAACCAAAAAATGGTCCAAAGGTAAGCCATTTGAATTAATAAATACAGAATTTGGAAAATGAAGGCCTCATTATGTCAAAGTGAGGTATATGGGCCATGTGCACAGGTCCAAAATCAGGATCACACCTAATTCATGTATTTCCAGATATCATATACCTTCATCTATCTTTTGCTAGTAAATACTCAGGTGAACCGTATTGTGGACCTGTTCTCCCATTGAAGAAGTTTGAACATTTCTTTTTACTTCAGTGGAAAAAAGCCATATATTATGCCATTTCTTACTTCTTCAATAAAACCTATTTGAGAATATCAAGGAAACAACAGTTTAATAAAAAGTTATAAATTAGGCTATGTCTACATTGAGGGTTTTTTTCAGAAGAGGATATGCAAATTGCGTGCTCATTTACATATCTTCTTCCAACTCTTTTTGCGGAAGAGGTTTTTCTGTTAAAAAGCCCCGTGAAGACTGGGTCATTTGTCGGAAAAACCCCTTTTTTCGCAAGATTCTGTAAACTTCGATTTTTGAGGAATATGGGATCTTGCAAAAAGAGAGGTTTTCCAACAAATGGCCCCATCTACACGGGGCTTTTTATCGGCAAAACCTCTTCCACAAAAACAATCAGAAGAAGATATGCAAATGAGCATGCGATTTGAATATCCTCTTCCGCAAAAAAAAACAGCCTTAAAAGGCACTTCTTTTGTTATTCTATAATATATTTGGGGAATTAAAATAATCTGGTATAATTTATATACAGTACATACAAACTGGCATTTTTATTCTGTTTGCAGTTTTAACTCACTGCCTGAAGACTTCACCTTTATTCAATCAAAACACTAATAGTATTCTCAATCTGATTAAGATACAATATCTTATTTTGTAAATAACAAAATGTTAAGATCAATGGAATACGATCAAGAAAAGAGTTGTAATTTAATATGATCTAAACTTCTGGCTCTCCTTCACAGCAGTCAGACAAATACAATTTATTGTAAACTTGATTTTTCACAGTAAACCATCTAATATTTGAATTAACTTTTCATAGACTTTTAAAGAAAAAATATACAATATTAAGAAAAAATTCTGTTTGGTAGTGATATCTGGAAGACAAAGTGACATTTCAGGATTATCAACCAGGATATGTTGAAGTAATGAAAATGTTACAGTGCATTTCAACTGAGATCAGTGAAGCTAAAATATTAATTAAATTTAGAGTTCAAATATTGTAGATATTCTTACAGAATAATGAAATTCCCTTTTTCTAGAAAATAAGCTTTCTTACCAAAATTTGACTTATTTGACTTATTGACTTAGGGGTTTGGAACATGTCCCATATGAAGAGAGGCTAAAGCGACTGAGACTTTTCAGTTTAGAAAAGAGGAGACTAAGAGGGGATATGATAGAGGTATATAAAATCATGAGTGGTGTGGAAAGGGTGAATAAAGAAAAGTTGTTTACTTCCCATAATAGAAGAACTAGAGGACATCAATGGTGTCCCTGGCCTCTGTTTGTCAGAGGTTGGAGATGGAAGGCACGAGACAAGTCGCTTGATCATTGTCTTCGGTCCACCCCCTCTGGGGTACCTGGTGCTGGCCACTGTCGGCAGACAGGCTACTGGGCTAGATGGACCTTTGGTCTGACCCAGTACGGCCATTCTTATGTTCTATTTTAGGGCTCCTAAATTAAGAGATAAAAATTGATTGAAAAAGTGTTGTTTAGATTTGGATCAAGATTTAACTTTATGACATTTAAATGCCAAATCAAGACAAGATTTTTGGTTTGGAATTGATGATGCCAAAATATCACAAACTTTTCTTATGAGATTTGACCCCGTGTGCAGGGGCAGATGACCGTTTTGCGGGGCCTGGGCAGCATAATTCCGCGAGGCCCCCCCTTTGCCATGCAGTGGCGCCACGGCACATGCGCTGGGCTTTTTTAAGCGCGGGGCCCAGGGCGGCCGCCCCGTTCGCCCTGCCCTATATCCGCCCCTGCCCGTGTGGCAGAACTCCTTTGGTATTAAAAAATCTAATAAGATTGTATTCAATCCAAATCTGAATTGAAAACCAGGCCTCTTCTATCTTTGCATACAGCTGGAAATCAAAATCATAGGATGGGTCCGGATTCAGGAGTTCAGGGTTTGAACCACGCTGACATCTGAAATATGAAGGATTTCAATTTAGAGAGATTCCTGTTTTGGATTATCACTAACTTTAAAAAGAGACAGACCCATAGTCTCCTATAGACAACCACCTAACCTCAAGATGATTCTTACCAACCACCACAGGACATACCACACTAATACCAACCCTGGTACCTTCCCTTGCAACAAACCCCGTTGCCAGCTTTGTCCACATATTCATTCTGCTGATACCATTATTGGACCTAACCAAGTGAGTTATAAGATCAAGAACACATATTCCTGCGCATCCAGAAATATAATCTACGCTATCATGTGCCGAAAGTGTCCGTCTGCTATGTACATTGGACAAACATCTCAGACACTTCGCCAAAGGATTAATGCCCACAAAACAGATATCAGACAAGATCACAAAGAGAAAACAGTTTCTTGCCATTTTAACCAGAAAGGACACTCTCTCAATGACTTAACCACCTGCATTCTGCTACAAAGACCTTTTACATCTGCACTTGAAAGGGAATCCTCTGAACTGTCATTCATGTTAAAATTCGACACTTTCCAACAAGGACTTAGTTCAAATGTTTGTTATCTCACCCATTACCAAGATAGTTTCCCCAATTATCACCTCTAATACCATTAACTCACAAACATCCCACTCTCCCTACCTCTAATATCATCAATTCACAGACACTTACCTTCCTTCCTCCCCCTCCCCCACCCCGCATCTCCCTTCTGTTCTGCAATGTGATTTGTCCTTTTCATATTTGTTCTTTTTTTTAATTGTATCCTTTGGTATATATGGTTGTGACTATTTTCTTCCACTATTTGATCTGAGGAAGTGGGTCTGGCCCACGAAAGCTCATCATCTAATAAACCATCTTGTTAGTCTTTAAAGTGCTACATTGTCCTGCATTTTGCTTTAAAAAGTAAGTTATTATATTTGTTTTTATAGCTAAAAGACCCCTCAGTCTTTCATATTATCTTCCCATTTACAGGGAGCTCTCTGACTAGTGGGAGCAGAAGGCGGATTTCCTGCAAAGACTTGGGCCATGGAGATTGTGAAGGCTGGTTGTGGAAGAAAAAAGATGCCAAAGGATACTTTACACAGAAATGGAAAAAATATTGGTTTATTCTGAAGGATTCTTCACTGTACTGGTACACAAATCAGAATGTAAGTATACTTGAAAGAAAATAACCAAAATTAAATTTTTCAATCTTTTAAATAAAGGAAGCTAAGGCTGCCAATTAATAGTTAATGAGGCAGAGTTTTTTGGATTTTGAATGTGATTGGATGTGAGTGTGATATTTGGGTTTGGCTAGAAAAAAATTCAGCTGCAATGATTCTGTTCAAGTTTTCTATCCATATGTGTCTAACACAATAAAATAGCACAAAAACAACATGGCATACTTCAAGAACTACAGTTGTCAGAAATTAACAGTACTTTTCCACGTTTGCTATTAATTAGATTAACAGAAGATCTTTGCTGTCATCTTGCCCTACTAGCAACAATGTGGGGAAAATCAACCATGAATGTCAGTTATTACACCTGGAATGAGTTCCTCCCTATATTCTAAAAATTAAATCGGATGTGAAATCCTGACTCAGGAGAGCAGCTGATTTGAGGCATGAAGACTTTTTTTTAAAAAATACAGAGGTTCAGTTGTTATGATATTAATATGGAGACTGCCAATATGTCATTTTCAAATCATCATTCATGATGGTGTTTAATTTCATTTCATATTCCTCCTGAAGTGCCACAATGCCAACATGTAAAGCTACATTAATAGGAACAGAAATGTTGTGTAATAATTTACAAAAAAATAAGCAAAATGCATGTTTTTTCTTCCATTTCTTAAACTAACACCTGTTTTATTCTACATGGCCTGATTTGATTTCTGATATTTTAATGCTGACAATTTTATAAGCAGCATTAGTTATCCCCTGTTTCAGTTCCTCTCGTTCTGCTTAATATTGGGTCTTCTTAGATTATGTTTGGGATAACAAGAAAACAGTTGGAGCGTTTGCTTGTGTTGTGTGTATATGTGCATGTTGATGTCCCTGCCTATGTGGTACATGAAACATCAGTGATCTTCACAGAGCTTAAGGGTGGTCTACAGAAAACTGGCCGATCTTGTGCTGGTCTTCTTCCACTGTTAAATCACATTTAACTAAATGAAAATTACATTAATAACTTTCCAAATATTACTTTTCAATCTAAACAATTGTTGAATTGAACAATTGCTACAGTAAAGTTTTTGATCATCATTAGGAAGGCAAGTGGTCCATACGATTATGAATAGGAAGGAAGGTATCCACAATATAATTATTGTTAGGCTGTGTCTAGACTGGCAAGTTTTTCCGCAAAATCATCTGCTTTTGCGGAAAAACTTGCCAGCTGTCTACACTGGCCGCTTGAATTTCCGGAAAAGCACTGACAATCTCATGTAACATCGTCAGTGTTTTTCTGGAAATACTATGCTACTCCTGTTCGGGCAAAAGTCTTTTTCCGAAAGACTTTTGCGCAAAAGGGCCAGTGTAGACAGCCCAGTACTGTTTTCCGCAAAAAAGCCCCGAAAATGGCCATCGGGGCTTTTTTGCAGAAAAGCGCGTCTAGATTGGCCACGGACGCTTTTCCGCAAAAAGTGCTTTTGCAGAAAAGCATCCTGCCAATCTAGACGTGCTTTTCCGAAAATGCTTTTAACGGAAAACTTTTCTGTTAAAAGCATTTTCGGAAAATCATGCCAGTGTAGACGTAGCCTTAAGCTGTAAAACAGACCCCCCAAAACCTCTATAGAGTTAATAATTCACTCATCTTAACCTGCACTTCTTCTTTTCTTGTGATAGGATGAAAAAGCAGAAGGATTCATCAGTTTACCTGAGTTCAGAATAGATAGAGCTATCGAATGCAGAAGGAAACAGTGAGTATGAGTAAAACCAGTCTACAATTGAAAGGACCTCCTTTGTAAGGATTCTGTGTGAAGTAGAGCACTTGTGAAAGCAGACAGATTATCTTTACCTGCAATTTGTAGTAAGAGTGCAAAAAGCTCTGGAAAAGGAAGATATACAGAAAACCCTAAAATCGATCTTGTTGGCATAAGATGTATCCATTGGCAGATTAAGTGGATATTTCTAAGTCTGCAATCATGCCCCAAACAAAGGAGATGGCCCTACAGGAAGCAACCCCGGGGATAGTATCACTTGGGGTGTATCATTAAGTGGTCCATACACTGTAAGGCCTCTCTAGGGCCCTGGGTTGAATTTTTGTGAAGTGGATGGACCAGGGTCCCCATAACAGAACCCTAGGAGGAGGGGAAGGAACACTCAGGAGGAATTGAGAGCCCCCCCCCCTTGCACATGACCTGAATGGGACCCCATCTAGACTGTCCAACACAGAAAGTACTGTGGAGCCAGTGCCTGACTACTTACTAGCTGTTAGAATGACCCACTACACTCACATTCAGTTTAGTCTTTAAAGACAGGACTACCTTTTGTGGTGCTTAGTGTGACAGAGCAGACTCATAGCTTTTACTACGCCTGTTAACTTAGAGAGAGCACTAATAAAGTGGTTATTTTTCACCCTATTTTAGGGGAGCAAGATATTCCCAGCTGTTCTAGTATTTATGTTCCAAAGGTTAATGGGCTGAAGCTAATAGAGGCTTGTGCTGCAAGCACGAGGCATATGATAAATGCATCCATCCTTGTAGCATAATTAATGCTAAATACTTATTGACAGAACTTGAAAATTCTACCTGGACAGCAGTGCTGTAATTGGAACCACTAACAGCTGCTGAGTACAACAGGATTAACACAACAGTTCTAGTGGTTTGAGACTAACACATCCATGAGCAGTCCTGATTTAGTCCCATCACTTTTTTCCACGCACTCTGTAATATATTGAAAATTCTCTGTCTTTGGGAGTTGATGAGAGCTCATTGCTTCCCTAGTTATAATTTAGTGTCCTGCATTGTTTGTCATGCCTCTTCAAATGATGACAATCTCTTAGAAGAATACTTTGTACTACTACGATCAGACACATAATAAACTGATGGTAGTATTCATTAGGACAAGGAATATGGATCAGGATCACATTTTTCTTGGTCACTTATCTCATAGTTTCATTAATGCCTCAGAAGCAAAAACAGAGCTGCAATTTGTTCCATTGATTTTAGGCAGTATTCCCATCGTAATATTAAAGAAAAATTAAGAAGACATATCAAAATACAAATAGAAACCAAAGTAGTTTAAATCTTCATATGAGGTAGCACAAATATCACTTGCTTAATGCTCTTTTTTCAAAGACATTGTCAATTCTGGACTTATGATGTAATGGTAAATGCATAAGGCTGCCTGCTTCCCTCAAAATCAATAAGACCATTGCCTTCAATGGTGGTAGAAGTAAGCTGTAAATATTTAACATTTAATTTTAAACATAATATGTTGCTAATATATTAGCCATTTACTTTGTCCAGTATGTATCATTCATATATTCATGTTTCTTTTCCAAATATAAGCACATTAGATTTGTTTTGCACATTTTGCACCCAGTTTAATAAAAAAAATATTTCTATGTTCACAAACAACATGGAGTTTGCCATTGGGTATAGTCAGGTTAGTATCAGCAGTTACTCAATTACAGGTTGAACCTCTCTAATCCAGAGTCTGCCATCCAAAAGCATCTGTCATCTGGAGTGATTTTGGTTAGCCAGATGTCCACTTTTCATGGCTGTGGCCAAGTTTCCCACAGTCCCATAAAGTTTGCTTATAGCCACCAGTCCTGGCTCTCATTGTTCTCTGCTGTTATTTTGCTCTTATTTACCCCTAAATGTCCTCTAACAGTCTAGTAAGCAGTGGAAGTGTTGGTAATTCTGCTAGACAATATTGACCTCCCCGGTCCAGAAAATTCTCTCATTTGGAACTGGTCAGGTCCTGAGGATTTCAGACTAGAAAGGTTCAATCTGTATAAGTTTCTAAATATTCTTTAAAAATCTAAATATTCTGCTACGTCATGGTAAGTACTACTGCTACTTTGCTACTTTGATAAAACTATTTGAAAGAGCTGGGATTAGTGGGGATCCATCTGTAAAGAATGACTATTGATCAGAATAATGCTAAAACATTATAGGTCTTAATCTTATATTCCCTGTGCACCCAACAGCCCGTTCAAGTCAATATGCATTTTGAGTACACAAAAATTGCATGTTTGGGCAATTGTTATTTATTTATTTATTTTTGTAATGGGAGTTCATTGACAGACTATTCTTGACATCTCAAAATGAAACAGCACAGTAAAAATGCTATTTCAAATTCACCTGTATAAGTAAAAATATACACCTTTGATGCCACACCAATGGCTTTTAATACCAAGAGAGTTTTAACATGATACTACCAGATACTGACTTCTGGCGCTGCACTAACCTGAAGCCGCAGAATGAAAAATACCCTTCTGAATTATTCAACCCCTGCTCTGAACACAGTTAACTTCCTGGTGTGCTTCTCTATGGTGCTCGCTACTAGGGTATCTGAGTCAGGCCTAGATTAAGACATGCTGAGGGCCTAAACTATTTCAAGTTTAAGAGGCCCAATTGTATGACCAAAAATTGATATTATTCTAACAGAAAGGACAATGAAAATAGAAATTATAAAGTTTTATATTTGTATATATGCTGGTAGATAGGTGAGGATGCAACTAAAAACTAGTATTTTTTTTAAAAAAATTAGGTGCTTCATAATTATAGCTAAAAAACTATAGCTTATTTAGCTTGTGCATAAATCTGGCATTGATCTGAGTGCTTCACAAACCTGAAGAAGAGCTCTGTGTAAGAACATAAGAACAGCCATACTGTGTCAGACTAAAGGTCCATATAGCCCTGTATCCTGTCTTCCAGTAGTGGCCAGTGTCAGATGCCCCAGAGGGAATGAACAGAACAGAACTGAACTGATCCATTTCCTGTTGCCCATTCCCAGCTTCTGTCAAACAGAGGCTAGGGACACCATTCCTTCTCATCCTGTTTAATAGCCATTGATGGATCTATCCTCCATGAATTTATCTAGCTCTTTTTTGACCCTTGTTATAGTCTTGGACTTCATCATCTCCTCTGGCAACATCCTCTGGTTCGACAAATTAACTGGAAACTCAAAAGCTTTTCTCATAACAACAATACTTGGTCCAATACAAGATATTACCTCTTCCGGTAATGCAAACATTAATTTTTCTCCATATCATCCCTGTGAAGTGGTGGCTTTATCCTCATTTTAATGAACCATTGATTGTAGATTTTGGTGCACCACTATATATATATACATATATATAAACAAATCCATTTGGTATCAGGACTCCATAGAGAGGCGCACAAGTCCCATCTATCTGGCCAAAGGTGTATAGGAATTCTGGTAGTCATTTGGCATGGAAGAAAGTGAAAGGTGTAACCAATGATTAATAAATCACACACTAGCAGTAGATGGTAAGCCCCCTGCCACTAAAAATATTAAATTAAAAACTGAAGCAGCCAACAGAAGGATCACAGGCCACGTATAATTTCTTACCAGTAAAAAGGGCAACCAAAAAGCCATTGCACTGGAACTTTATTTTTAACATACATATAATTTGTTAATGTCCGCCATCTAGTGGACACCATAAGAACATTCCATTCATTTCAAGGGGTTGCTTGTAATTTACTGTTTACATTTGCTAAACAGAATTTTTCCTGTTAATTCAATACACTGCAAATATTTATAATGATTACAATATCAACAGAATGTATCCTTTTTGCTTATTTGCTTTAACTTTTCCATCATTTCCCCAACTGGTACAGATAGGACCTCTCTGGTCCAGGACACTCTGGTCCGGCAACCTCTATGGTCTGACAGGACCATGGAGTTTGCTGGACCAGAGGAGGAGCGAGGGCCAGCCAGGAGTTCGGTGGCCAGTGACAGGGTTGGGAAGTGCGGACAGTGGCCAGGGCCATTGTGAGCGGCCAGCGATTGGGGCCAGGAGCAGTGGCAGTGGGACTGGGGAATGGTGTCCGTAGCCTCTGTTGGTCAGAGACTGGAAATGGATGACAGAAAGGGATCATATGATGATTACCTGTTCTGTTCACTCCTTCGGGGGCGTCTGGCATTGGTCACTGTTGGAAGGCAGGATGCTGGGCTAGATGGACTTTTGGTCTGACCCAGTATGGTCATTCTTATGTTCTTCTTTTAAAAGATGTATATCTATGTATACTATATTGGCTCAGTCTTACAATGTGCTCAATGTTCACAATTCCCATTCAGCCCAATTATAACCTAATGAGAGTTATGCAGGCGTTATTCCATTTAAATCAATGGAGTTCAAGCAGCAAAGAGTATGGAGACAGGCTGTTCTCAGTAGTGGCAGATGACAGAATGAGGAGCAATGGTCTCAAGTGGCAATTGGGAAGGTCTAGGTTGGATATTAGGAAAAACTATTTCACCAGGAGGGTGGTGAAGTACTGGAATGTGTTACCTAGGGAGGTGGTGGAATCTCCATCCCTAGAGGTTTTTAAGCCTCGGCTTGAAAAAGCCTTGGCTGGGTTGATTTAGTTGGGATTGCCTTTGCTTTGGGCAGCGGGCTGGGCTAGATGACCTGAGGTCTCTTCCACACCTAACGTCCTATGAAAGTAATAGTAAACAGTAGTAATTGTTGCTTGGCTTTTTATCCTATTTATTAAAGGAACTTTTTCTAGATACACTACAGTACACATGATGAGCCACAGTACAAGTTCAACAATGAGTACATGCAGTGCTTTTTTTGTGATGGTACCATCACCCTTTTTTTTCTCCAGCACAACCCCTAGCCGGCCTTGGGAGCACTCGCAACATGCCAGATGGAAACCTGCTCTGGACACATGGCAATTAAAGAGGCCACGACTGCATTTTGTCCCCGAGCTTTCGCCCCTTC